ATGTTCTTGTCTTGTCCTTACTCTCATGGTGGGTAGAGTAAATAGTTCCGTGATTTGGGTGTTCATGGTAGGTCGCTCTATTCTTATGTGAATTGCCTCAAGAATTTGTAATCTTCTTGAATCTTGGGTTTTGTCTATTATGCAAGTATTCTTGTTCAACATTTCTCTTGTTAGAGTAATGTCATGGGCTTGTCTCATGTGATTCCTAGGGGCACCAGATTGAAGATGGCATGTCAAACGCCTCGTCAGCTTGGTCGACGTCATACCTATGTACTTACATTGAAGGTTACATCCTTCGTGGGGGCAAGTGTACATGTATACAACGCTTGACTGCTGTAGAGGGTTCTCCGTCGGCTTCGGGCTGTTTTTGATAAGGAGTTCGGAAGTCTTCTTGGTTTTGTAGAATATTATCAGGTTTATGTTTTGGTTAGGAGTAGTGCTTTTTACTCCTTTACTAATTATTTCTTTCATTATTCTTTCCTCTTTTATATGTTCACTGTGCATGGTTGATTTGTAATATAATTTTATTGGGGGTGTTGTGGTTTCTGTTCTAGGTTCTGAATTATACCAACGGTCCAAGTGTCTTCTTATAGCAGCGTTTATTTCCGCGTTGCTATATCCGTTGTTCACCAATACCTGAGTTACTCTTTCAAACTCTCTACTCACGTTGCTCCATTCAGAGCAGTGGGTAAGCGCTCGACGAATATAAGCATTGAGAACACTGGCTTTGTATCTTTGGGGGCACTCACTTCTACCGTTCAGGCATAATCCTATGTTGGTGGGCTTGGTATATACGTTGGTGCTTAAAGAGGTTCCTGTTTTTGTTATTAGTACATCCAAGAATGGCAGACTGTTATTTTCACTATTTTCATGTGTAAATCGGAGTACTGACTCTCTCTCTAGGTGTCTTTTTAGGTCAATTAGTTCATCTGAGTCTTTTACTATTACGAATATGTCATCTACATAACGGCAGTATACAGTTGGTTTTTGTCTGCTACTGAAGACCCTATCTTCGATGGTTCCCATATAAAAATTAGCAAATAAAACTCCTAAGGGGGAGCCCATTGCTACTCCGTCTATCTGTAAATACATGTCTCCTTGTGGACTGATGAAAGGGGGCTTCCTTTGTACATGCTTCGAGAAGACTTTTCAAGTGTGGCTCAGGTATGTCTAATTTGGGGGTGCTCTCGTCTCTGTATACTCTGTCCAGTATCATTCCTATGGTTGTGTCGACTGGGACGTTGGTAAAAAGGGATTCAACGTCCAGGGAAGCGATGATTCCATCGGGCTGGGTAGATTTGATCAATTCTAGGAAATCTGCTGATGATTGTAGACTAAACTTACATTAATTCTGTAAACTTACATTTACCTTAATTCTTGAGGCAATTCACATAAGAATAGAGCGACCTACCATGAACACCCAAATCACGGAACTATTTACTCTACCCACCATGAGAGTAAGGACAAGACAAGAACATATCGATGCCAACACGGAAGACAATGTCCAACATAACAGGCCAATTACACTGGATTAATCTTTGTGTTTAGATAGGAGATGCCTCGTATGGGCCAATAAGCCTTCTGCAGCCCCTATGTTTATCCCTTATGTATCCCCCCATGTTTTTCACCTTCATTGTATTATCACCTGACCTAATGCGGGTATAAAATCAACTAGTATTGTAAGATTGTTCACTTGAGAATGAACCATGGAGGTTCGAAACGTCGTGCAAATTATACAAATAAGTTTAATACACTCTATAGTAAATCACTTCTTTTCTTCACCTTAACACTTTCGCGCTATCTGGACGCGCCGGCGCGTTCGGTTTCGTCTAACGTAAACGCATAGTGGACATAAAGTTATGTCAACTTTTAAAATATTTGTATAAAATTCAATTTTTATCCGATTTACTTTGGGTTTGTTTCAAACTGCGCGCTATGAGGCTCTCTTTCTCACCACTAGGCTGCATGGTACAATAAGTTCATGAAAGGTGTGGATAACGTCGATCAAATGGTATTTTGTCCCAAACGGGTTGCAGGTGGGTGACTTTAGCCGTTTATACTGGTAATTCTTCCCCCATATCATGTATTATATGCATATGTCTGTTTAGGGAATTTTATTCCGATCAATATACAACCAAAAATAACTGTGTGCAACAAGTATAATCTTGACAAACATTACAAAAGTAAAAATATTTCGTGTGTGTTTGACGCTCACTGATATGTTCCAGCGTTGTTTTATATTTGTCGCTATTCTAACTTACGCTTTGTTGATATTTTTTACCTATGGGCACATAGAACATTCTATTGCGAACACATTGACATAAAAATGAATGACGTACATAGAAAATTAATGTCATGAGAGTGAAATAAGTATAAACTTTCAAAGCGCCGTGCGTCGTCCCGTCACCGATACCGGGTAACAATTTCACCACTTCCCACACTCTTGCGGGCGGGCTGCATCAATATTCAACGCTTATATTCATATCACCGTGTTGTGAATTTCATTGCGAGTCCATTGATACCAAAATTAACGCTGTAGAACAAGTGTGGAGGTGATTATAATCCCAAGAGTAAAAACATTTTGTTGCTGATGGGCGCTCACGGCGAGTCATCTACGTAGTTATTTATTTGGTGCTGGTATCCCTATATGTTTCGTGACTTATTTTACTAATGTTCTTCTAGAGAATTTTATTGCGAACACGTTGGTACCAAAATGAAATACGTAGCATGAGAACTAAGGTCAGGAGAGTAAAAAGAGTATACACATTTTTGTTTTTACGCTTAAGCGATAAAAACGCAGCGCGCACATTCGGTTGGCTGAGTGACCTTTGCGGAGAGCGTGAAAGTGTTAAAAGTACGAAAATGAGTTTTGGAGAACTCCTATTCCAATTAAGCCCTGATGCTAAGAAAATAGAGGGATAGAAGCCCTAAACCAGAAAATAATAAATACAGAATATGTGGTCATATTCAATGAAACATGTTTGAAAGAAAACCTGCTGCCAGTATACACCAATATATATATATATATATATATATATATATATGTCGTACCTAGTAGCCAGAACTCACTTTTTGGCCTACTATTCAAGGCCCGATTTGCCTAATAAGCCAAGTTTTCATGAATTAATTGTTTTTCGACTACCTAACCTACCTAACCTAACCTAACCTAACTTTTTCGGCTACCTAACCAAACCTAACCTATAAAGATAGGTTAGGTTAGGTAGGGTTGGTTAGGTTCGGTCATATATCTACGTTAATTTTAACTCCAATAAAAAAATTGACCTCATACATAATGAAATGGGTAGCTTTATCATTTCATAAGAAAAAAATTAGAAAAAATATATTAATTCAGGAAAACTTGGCTTATTAGGCAAATCGGGCCTTGAATAGTAGGCCAAAAAGTGAGTTCTGGCTACTAGGTACGACATATATATATATATATATATATATATATATATATATATATATATATATATATATATATATATAATTTTTATAGTTTCTACTTCTCAAAATCTTCTTTACACATCATTTCTCAAGAATGGAACTTTGCCTCTATTTCACTGTACTATCACCCATCATCATCACATGCTGTGGTGTTGTTATGGCTGTAGTGATGATGATGGGTGGTGGTCTAGTGAAACTCAGAGCACAACGTGTTCAAGAAGTTTGACGAAGAAGAGAAAGCCTGAAACTTTTCCAGTGTCCCGAAGGATTCAACCAATGGACACAGTATTTGCGTGCTCCAAGGTTACTCTAGTATTTACATGTTTCAAGGTTACTCTAGTATTTACAAGTTCCAAAGTTACTCTAGTATTTACATGTTCCAAAGTTACTCTATTTCACTGTACAGTACTGTCACTAAGGTTTCATAAAGGTTACTCAGTATTTACATGTTCTAAGGTTACTCTAGCATTTAGATGTTCCAAGGTTACTCTAGTATTTGTTGGGAGCCCCATTGGCTTCCTGAAGCTATCATACACTGATCAGTGCTGTACTACTTAGCGCCATCGGTCGCAGAGTTCTATTTGCTTACCGGGACCATAAGCCAGAAACTGGTCCCCTCTTGAGAGGTGCAGGGAACGATGGCCTATGATCATTTACATTTAAAAGATATCATCTTTGCTACCACCTAGGGTAGGCAACCAGAAAGATTGGCAAATCAAAACAGACCACTGGGTTAAAAATGAGATTACAACCCCAAAATTGCAAAAAGAACTCTTCAACAATGAAAACAACTGAAATTTCATGTTGTCATTTCATGTTTCATGTCTCCTTGTTTGTTTGCTCCACGCACAGTCACTTGGGCTGGACGGTAGAACGATGGTCTCGATTCATGCAGGTTGGCATTCAATCCCTGACTGTCCAAGTGGTTGGGCACCATTCCTTTCCCCCGTCCCATCCCAAATTCTTATCCTGACATCCCTTCCAAATGCTATATAGTCGTAATGGCTTTCCCCTGATATTTCCATTTCATTCTATCTCAGTGAGATAGCTTCAGTGAGCCACAAAGGGTTTCCCCCAGAAATATGGGCTATGATGGATTTATATTTACCTATGTACTTCAGGGTTACAATATTTTGTAGATATTTCAGTACACTACTCTCTTGGCAAGATAAGTCATTAGCCATATCCACTATGCATTATAGTGAATGGTGAATGTAGGCTCATTGATTTTTTTCCTTGGGAAAGGGGGGGTGTTGCATTGGGTATGACTGGTTGAATGAAATCTGTTATGGAATGAATCTGTTTTGCTCCGTATAATTTGTTTAAGTGAAGATAGTGTATTCTCATGCAGAGGAAAAGAAAGGAACATCATTAATGGTTTGAGACCTAGATGTACTTGTATAGCTTTCATGTCAAAAGATATTAAAACACTGGAAGCTATATAGAATTGGAAATTATGAAGAATTTCTATATTAGATGTGTTAATTGCCTTATGGTGGTTATATTATGTAATAATGTATGCCTCCTCAGAATTGTATTTTATCTATTTACAGGTTAGAGTTGCTGTACATAGCTGTGGTGTTAATGCTTCTGATCTGCTAATGATGGAAAATAAGTAAGTTAATCAATAATTAATATCCTGTCTGAGTAATCTGTCCTCTTAAAAATAACGTCGCTTTTGGGTGTTTGCCCGTATAGCCGAAAATGAACGTAATTAGAAAATGGAAAAAAAAAGAAAATAAATTTGGGATTTTTTTCAACAACAGTAAGTTAAGGGTCCTCTGGTTGGTTAGGAGGGCAGGAAATTCTCATAAAGTTTCAAAACGTTATGAAAACCGTTAATTGAAAGTTTCCTCTCCTAACCTTTTTGAGTAAGCCGGAGAACTCGAGCAGAAAACGGGACAATACATAGCTTTCGTGAGCGGATTTCATTTCAAATTACGTCCATTTTTGGCTATAGCGCGCATACGAGCGAAAAGCGACGTTATTTTTAAGAGGACGGGTTGTCTGAGAGTGCTTGGAGGATAGAGTAAATGTGAAAATTCATTCCCTTATGAAGATTGTAAATACAGATGAGGAGATGATGACGTTTCAGTTTGTCCTGGACCATTATGAAGTCGATTGTGATAATGGTCCTGGACAGTCCACAATCGACTTGATTGTGGATGGACCGAAATGTCATTGTCCCCTCATTTTCTGGTGTGCGGTTTGATCAACATATTTTCAGCCACGTTATTGTGATCCATCATCTGCATTTGAAAATATAGTACTGTATACACAAATGTTTTAAATTTGACCAAGCCTGATTTATTCAAGTTAGGGATACATTGCAACCAGTGATTCATTTAGAATTAAGGGGGGCTAGAGTGAGTAGTGTGGGGGGGAAGTTGCTTGTAGCTTCCTGAAGCTACTTTGCTGAGATGGCCCCCCTTACTGATAGACCGCAATAGTTGTGGATTTGAGTTTGGTATTGTGGAGACCAGAGTCAGAATCTGGCCCCCATCAAAGAGGTGCAGAGAGCAGCTGTCACTTCACTGGGGAAGGCATCCAGAAAGTCTGTGAACCAATACAAACTACTGCTGGGTTTAAAGAGGCTGAGGCCTCACGACTTTCCAAACGAACTCCCCAACAATGTAAACAAATGATAAAAAATTGGTTGAAAGAAACATGCGTTCATTCGCCCCCACCTCTTCCACTTGCTTGGGCAGAGAGGCAGGCCAGGGCTGACACTGTCCACTGGCTCAAGCCCTCGGTTCCTCCACTGAAGGCACACTTTCCTGACATCTGCAGTAGGAGCCCCAGGGCTGTCAGTAAGACTTTGTCAACATCTCACATAATGGAGGACTTTCTGTCTTTGGTCATATGGTTTCTCGCTATCGTGGAGCTCTACTCTGAGTGTCTCCATTAAGGACATTGAGGCACTGCTCTGGGCCTGGTGCAAGCACTTTAATATGTGCTGTTGTGTCATTGGCAGCTTTGTTGAAGCTGTACGCGGTCATACTTTGGGGGGCAGCAGCTGCATTCTATGCTGCAAGCCTTGCCTGCTTGATACCTGCTTGATGGGGTTCTGGGAGTTCTTCTACTCCCCAAGCCCGGCCTGAGGCCAGGCTCGACCTGTGAGAGTTTGGTCCACCAGGCTGTTGCTTGGAGCGGCCCGCAGGGCCACATACCCACCACAGCCCGGCTGATCCGGGACTTCTCTTAGAAAACAGTACAGTTTTCTCTTGAAGATGTCCACGGCTGTTCCAGCAATATTTCTTATAGTCGCTGGGAGGACGTTGAACAACTGCGGACCTCTGATGTTTATACAGTGCTCTCTGATTATGCCTATGGCACCTCTGCTCTTCACTGGTTCAATCTTGCATTTTCTTCCATATTGTTCACTCCAGTACGTTGTTATTTTACTGTGTAGATTTGGGACCTGGCCCTCAAATGTTGACAGGCTGCCTTAGCCCAGCCTGTAGAATCAGCTTGGGCCCCTGGCCCTCTTGTCCACCTCTCCTTGTCTGTGGGGAGCCCCTATGGCTCCCTGGAGCTACCAGACTAATATGTGATACATTTGACCGGAGCATTAATCTATGAAGTTCAGCCTACCGAGGACCACGATCCAGACCCTGGCCCCCCTCAAAGAGGTGCAGGGAGTAATGACCCTGGAAAACCCCCCTGTGGTTGGGGGTTTACCGTATCTACCATCGACCGGGGTTAAGCACACAGAAAGGTAGGCATAACAAAACAAACCCTACACGGTAAGAAAATTACAGCTAAAACCGAAAAGAGAGGCAGAACTCCCTCCAATCCTAAGGAAACAAACAAATGTCACACTCCACCGCTGTGCCGCTCATCCGTGCAGCCCTTCCCTCCCCGTGCCGGCTACCTAGCACTCCAGTTCGTTCGCCATTGTGTTCTGGGGCGGACGTCTTCTCTGGCCTCGATTTCCAAAGCGGTGTTTTGCCTCTGTGGCGACCTCTGCAGTGTTGTTGTGTGGTGGCCAGGTGTCCTCAAAAGTGTAGGTGTTGCATGCTCTTAGGGGCATTCTTCTCTAGGCGCCCTGTGAGTACTGCCCTTGCGTGATAGGGTTCTCTTTCCTGGTGCGTTCGGGAACCATTTCCATAGGGGTTTTTGCTGCTCGGCATTTACCCCGCCCTAGGGGCCAGCTTGGGTTTCGTGGCCCCTTGTTTGGCCTTGGGTAGGGAGTAGTATCGTGATGGTTAGGGCATGAAACTGTTGTGCAGCCTGCCTACCTATGAGGTGGCCCAGTTCCTGTTTCCTCTTGGGACGTTGTACTTTTGCGGGGTTTTTCTTTTTTGTTTTTATTGCCTGGTGGGGGAGGGGGGTCCGCCTGGTGTGGCTATGGTTCCACTTCTAATATTTTGGTAGCCTTCTGCTAGGCCACCATGATTGTACCCGTCACAGGGTTTTCAGTGTTTTGATCTTCAACTTGTTAGCTTTGGGTCTTAACCAGTTAGCAACACCTTGCCCGGGCTTCCTGCAGTAGTCAGCCTATGGGCCCTGGAAAACTCTGTCGGGGCTCATTGGACATATGAATGCGACTTCTGAGTTCCTGCCCCACCTTGTGCATGATCGAAAGTTGCTGTGTGCCCTTGTCTCAGGGTGACAGTCACCTCTTTTGCCTCTGTCATACTGCCTGTTGGGTCAACGACACCTTTGACTCGGAGTCTTGCGAGTTGTGTTCTCTGCTTGTTCTTCAGTACTATTCTGATGACATTACTGTTAGGGTATGGGCAGCATCCGCATTGCATGCTAGGTTCAGGTTACTGCAGTGTGCTAAGTTGGTTTCCGACCTCGATGCCCCACGGCTGTCCCACTTTGGTTATAGGGATCCGGACTTGGGGGAGTTAGTCGCTTCGACTTTGGTTCAGCCCACGCTCCCTGGTCCTTCCCCTGTTGTTCACTCTGGTCTCCCCCCCCCCATGCTTCCGGCTCCCAAATGCCTGAGGGTTTCAGAGTCGGAGCAGGGTTTAGTTGGTAATGGGACTCGGGCAGCTTCGGGGGCTGCCCCATTTGGGTTGGGGACGGGGGGCATTCGAGCCGGTTCCTCCTACTGAGGCTTCTGGGTCCCACCAGCAGGCCCCCCCCTTCTTGTCAGCCTTTTCCCTGGACTCTGCCTTTTCTTCAGGGATAGAGGGTGTATGGAGAACTGCTCTGCCCCAGGCCCCGACTTGGGGGATCCCGGAGCTGGAAAGGAGTCGACCTGGGGGGCCTGGGGTGCCTGGGACCCCTTTGACCCTGCTTGGGTGTTAGTGCCCTCTTCGCAGAGTTTGTTGTTGCAAGGGGAGGTGTTTTCTTACCACCCTTCCCCATATGAGTATGATTTGGGGTCGGCTCCTCCCTGGGTTGGGTGCGTTTGGAGGTTCCGGAGTCTTCCTGGCTGGCAGACTGCCCATTCTTTTCATCGGGGGTGTGGCATGGGTTCTGTCGGACCCGCACCCTTGAGTTGCGAGAAACTTTTGCCATTCTGCAGGTTTACCTTAGGGGCGAGTTGAGCGCCTTAATGTATGCTTGTTCGCCCCTGTGCTTTCTCGGGATGGTTGGCCTTGTGCAGCTGCACGTGCAAGTTCCTACCCTTTTGACGTCCTTGGTTTCTGAGGATTTGTGCATCAGTGGGCATTTGGCTTCTGTCTTGCGCTTCTTATTCCCTTCTTGAACTGTCTTCAGCCTGGCTTGAGGAGGAGGTGGAGGCAAATGAACAAACCCACAAGAGCCGTGATGAGGATTCGAACCTGCGTCCGGGAGCATCCCAATGAGGTGGAGGCGTTGAGTGCCGAGCCTTTATCTGGTATGCTGTATTTGGTGGCTCGGGCGTCGGCCGCGCTGTTGAAGTTGTTTGCGAATATCCTGAAGGAGGTGATGTCTCTGTTCTTTGCTTCTTGCCTCACGTGCCGTGAGGCTGTGCTCGCTCTCTCTTTGGAATCCGCTTGGGTCCTGGCTCTTAGGTATTCATCGCCATTTTCTCCGTTGCTGTTTGCTGAATCTGCTGTCATGCAGTTTCTGCAGGCGGCTTTGTCTAATTGTCGTTATATGTTGGACTTGTTGGTTTTCCGGGGCAGACGTTCTTGGCCTTCTCAAAAGGGTTGTGCCAGGGCTAAGGGTTCCACTGGTTGAGGTGGGCCATTGGTGCCAGCTTCTGAGCAGACGTTGCCTTCTTAGCTGGCATCATCTGGTCGGCGCGATGATTGCTCTTTTCAGGGGCATTGGCCTTTTTGTGGTTCACCCCCGTTGACGGGGCAATTGGGGGGGAGGCTCGCTCTGTTTGCTAGTGCTTGGTCCCATGATTTGTGAGCATTTTCGGTCGAGTCATCCAGCCTGTTGTGGCATTAGGGGCTCCTTCCCCTTCAGGGGGTTTGGGGCTGGCAGGGCAGGCTTCTTTCCCTGCGCTTCGTCAGGTCATCTCGGAGCGTGTTTGCTTGGGCATGGTTGAAATGACCCTATCCCTCAGGTGGGCTTCCCATCTATTTCCAGTGCCGCAAATGGGACTGTGCGGATCTGAGGTTCATTCTTGTCTCACCCACTAAAAGCCCCGAAATCATCTCTAGATAACCGATCTGGGATTCCTTGACCCGTTTTTTGGATGACCACTCTGTCTTAGGTCTGGCTTCTTTTGGAGCTGCGAGCCTGGATGGTGTCCCTGGACCTCAAGGATGTGTATTGGCACGTTTCTATTCATCTGGGGTTCAGGGACTGGTTAGGTTTTGTGGTGGGATGTCAGGCTTACTGCTTTCATTACATTCTTTTTGGTTTGACTCTGGCACCTCGTGTAATCATGCATCTTACCCGGGTTGTGGTGACCTGTCTGCATCTGCTTGGGGTTCAGGTCCTGGCCTACTTCGATGACTGGCTGGTGTGGGCTCCCAGTCGGTTCGCATGTCTGCTCGCCTGGGGTGTGGTTCTTTCCCAGCTCGCTGGGTTCAGGTGCCTGAGGAAGTCCCATCTGGTTCCTGCTTGATGGGGTTCTGGGAGTTCTTCTACTCCACAAGCCCGGCCTGAGGCCAGGCTTGACTTTTGAGAATCTGGTCCACCAGGCTGTTGCTTGGAGCGGCCCACAGGCCCGCATATCCACCAGAGCCCGGTTGGTTTGTCCCAGGTTCGGACCTGGCTGGGTCTTGTTTGGGAATCTCGGACTGCTTCCATGTCTCTCCCTCCGGAGACGTTGGTGTGGCTGCTGTCTCGCCTTTGGCTGTTTCTGGGAGAGGAGGGGGGGGGTCCCGGGTCACTCAACAGTTGCTCGAACAGTTGTGCAAGAGTTCGAACTTTGCCCTACTTGTCTACCCGCTGGGTTGGGTTTGGCTTCGGCGTCTGTTTTGGTTCCTTCAGGAATGCCCCGTCTGTTTCTCTCACGATTTCTGACTTCATACTCCGGGGGCCTTGCGTCGGTTGCTGCGTCACCGGCTTCCTCTTTGGTTTTTTCGGGGTTCAGTGCTTTCGCGCCTACCTGAGCCCTTGCTTGATGTGTTCATGGACACATCGTCTATTGGCTGGGGCTTTGTATCCAGTGCTCACCAGGCCTGCCAGGGGCGATGGGGTCCATCCTTCCGTCGGGCTCACAGCACGGTGCAGGAATTCGCGGTGGTTTGGCTGTTGCTTCAGAGAGTTTGGGTCACTCAGGGTTCGACCATCCGGCTCCATTCGGAATGTTCTCCAGTAGTTCATTGCCTGAATTGTGGGGGTTCTCTTCAGTCCTTGCTACTTTGGGGCTGGTCATTTCAAGTGGTTCGTCTGCTGGCTTCTTGGGGTTTGGCTCTCTATGAGGTTCATATCTGGGGAATGTCAAACGTCTTGGTGGACTTCTGGACGTGGACCTCTTCACGTCGGCATCTCCCGATCTATGTGGCACCCTTCCCTGACTGCGAGGCTGTGGCAGGGAAGTCTTTCGGCAGGACTGGTCGAGGTGGAGGTTACCTGTACTGTACCTCTTTTTCCCGGTCCAGCTGTTTTCTTCGGGTTCTGGCTCGGTTGGAGTCCAACCAAGTGGGTCGTTTTGGTGGCAGTATGAAGTTTCCTGGCGGTCCTTTCATTATTTCTTGTCCCTTCACAGGTTTTCTTCTGTTTCAGATCGGGTTGTCTTGTCCTTCCTGTCTTGGTTGTTTCAGGACTGTCATCTTATGCCGAATACTGTCGCCTCGTATCATGTGGCACTGGCGGAGCCGCTTCAGCTTGTATTTGGGGTGGTTATTACTTCTGCTCCGTTCTGCAAGCTGTCTCGTGCATTGTTTCACCTCTGGCCTGCTCATGCACTGCCTGAGTCGTCCTGGTATTTAGACTGGGTGCTCTCTTTTCTCTCTTCTCCTCAGTTTGTTGTGGCACCTTCGGTTCAAAATTGTTTTGCTAAGGCTCTTTTTCCTGTTGGCATTGGCCTCTGGGGGTCGGGTTGAGGAGCTTCATGCTCTCCTCCAGCGCAGAGGTTTCTGCTCCTTTGGTCTTGGTAGTAGGTTTGTTCATTTGCATCTGTCTCCATTTCTGGCGAAGAATGAGACTTTCCGGAGGGGTCCTTGGGTTGTTGATGCTTGGTTGGTTTGGCTGGGGGTGCATCATGTGTTGTGTCCGGTTGCAGCTTTTCCCTGTTATTTGTGCTCCATGGCCTTGGTGGCCGGGGACACGCTTTGGGTCGACCCGGTTTCCCTTCTTCCCTGTTCCAGGGCTCGGGGCCCCCAGGTCGTCTGCAGGGTTATTCAGTCCAGCCAGCCTGCGATCTATCCTTGTGCCCATGACATTCGTAAGTTTGCTGCATTGGTTGCCGTCTTCAGTAATATGTTTTGGGCTGACATTTGGGCACAGGGATTTTGGAGGTCGAACAGGGTCCTGGCCACTTGCTACAGTGTCAATGTTCCTGGCCCTAGTCGGGCATGTGTCGCATTAGATCGACGGTTGTAGTTGTCTTGACTTTGAGTTGAGGAGTGAGTGACGACCGCCTCCCAAGTAAGTCCATCTTGTTTTATTTTTGGTTAAGTGATGCTAGAGGCACACGACCTCTGCCTCTAGCATCAGCCTCAGAACTGAGAGGTGGATTGCTGGTGTGGGGGTCTGGGGCTCCCCCTTCCACGTCCTGGGGAGGGGGGAGCTGCGCAGACAGCGGCGCGGCGACGTGTTACGTCATACTCATTTGCTCGTTTCTGTTTAGGGAGTTCTATCCACTTGTTTGGCTTTTCGTAGCAGTTTTCACCAGAATAGGGGATTGTTTTGGGACGCTTACCTTTCTGGGTGTCTGACCCAGTCGATGGCAAACATAGAATGCTTCCAAGCACATAGGGGTTTCTATAGGCCATTGCTCCTCGTGCCTCTTCTGAGGGGGGGCCAGGTTCTGGCTCGTGGTCCTGGGTAGGCCCCCAGAACTCCATACACATGACTGATGCCAAAGTCTGACATTAGCATATCAGCCTGGATAGCTCTGGAGAGCCTCTGGGTCTCAACCAGAAAATGGCGTTTCATTACATTCAACGCTGGTTTTTTATTGCTGCAGTTATGGCTTCCTTTACAGCTTCTTCTATTATTTCCTTCTCCCTAGTCACTTGTGCATAGGTGAGTTTCATATCCTTCTTACATTGTTCTATTCACTGTGTAACTTCCTCACCTAGTTGTATTTGTAAGGGTTGAGCACTTTAGTTCTGCCTCAACTGTCAATCAACTGGTGTACAGCTTCCTGAGCCTACTGGGCTCTTATCATATCTACACTTGAAACTGTGTATGGAGTCAGCCTCCACCACATCCCTGCCTAATGCATTCCATTTTTAACTATGACATTGAACAAATTCTTGTGTTTCTTTGGCTCATTTAATTACTAAGTTTCCACCTGTATCTCTTTGTTCGTGTACCCTCTGTGCTAAATAATTTGTCTTTATCTACCCTGTCAATTACCCCTGAGAATCTTGTAGTTGCTAATTATGTCAACCAATAACTGTTTTGTCTCATAGTGATGTGAGGTGTAATTCCGATCGTTATTCCTTGTAGCTCATACCTCTCAGTTTGAGTACTAGTCTGGTGGTATGACGATCTCTAACCTCGTCTTGTGTTTGACTAGATACTGACTGCATGCTGAATCATCACACTCCAGGATTGGTCTGACATGTGTGCTATACAAGGTCCTGAATGATTTCTTACAAACTCCAAAGGCAGTTCTTACATTGCCAATTGTGCATATACTGCTCATGGCATGCTTTTTTATGTAGGCTTCAGGGGGATAGGTCAGACATGATGTCAACCACCAGAGGTAGTGGACCTAACCAGCAACTGCACCTCGATAATGAGTGTATATGTATGGTTGAACCAGGGTTATAAATGTTGCCCAAACTGTTGCTTGTTTTGGTGTGCTCTACTTCTCGGGTAGTTTTTCATTTAGTACTGATATTATGGTTTTGTGTCCCCAGACTTCCCCTTTCCTCCACCGAGAGCCAGATTCTGGTCCTGATCTCCCGTAGGCACTTGTGAGTAATTAGTGCGTGGTAGGGTACCTAAGGTTTGGAGTATTCCATGTGGATAAAGCTCAAAAGATACCGAGGGACCCACCAAAAAGAGGTATTTCATTACATTCAGTGCTTGATTTTTGCACTCTTTTCCAAACAGGATTTGATCCAAGACAATTTCTTCTCGCAGCGAGAAGTTTAAACTTTGTTAAAAATACTTATTATGCAGTACAGTTTATTGCTAGTGAAATGGAACTGCATTACTCTTTTTATTTTCTTTAAATGATGCCAATAAAATTTATTTGCTGAAAAGCCATACCTAAATTGTTTGTCTTATTCTTTCAGGTATGATCAAGTACTTAAGCCCCCATTTGTACCTGGCTTTGAAATTTGTGGTGAGGTAATAGAGATTAGTGAAGATGTACAGACTACGGAGGTTGGTTGTCGTGTAATTGGGATCAACAAACAGACATTGGGTGGCTTTGCTGAGGAATGCATCATATCGGAACAGGTTAGACTATGTTACGACGAACTTCAATTTTGTTAGATAATATAATTTGGAAGTAAATATGACAAAGAAACTACTGAGCTAAAGTTGCAAGAATCATATTAAATCCAGGAGAGGCAAGAACAAAAGGCCAAATAGAGAGGAGTTCAAAATATATTTTCTCCTATGACAAATCCAGAAACACAAGAAAACCCTTGGTGCCGATGGAGAGCATGAAGTTCATCCATGCAACACTCAAAGGCAAGAGAAATCATAAATAAAGCCTTAAGAAAACAATCCCAGACTGTAAGGGCCACTGCAATGAGGGAGGGAGGGAATTATCAAGGGAAAGTGCCAAGCCATTACGACTATATTGCACTTGGAAGGGGTCAGGATAAGGATTTGGGATGGGACTAGGGAAAGGAATGGCATCCAACCAGTCTGACAATCGGGGATTGAACACTGACTTGCATAAAGTGAGACCGTCGCTCTACCATCCAGCCCAAGTAGTTGGACACTGAAATGAGGAGAAGAAAGAAATTAAAGTACATGGTTCAAGGACTAAGTAGGCAGAGGTGGTGCATGAAAAGGTCGGAGGTGAAACGGTGTGCAAGAAAACTTGTGAAACAGGGCCGAGGTAGTACCGACCCTGAATGCAAGCTGGAGCACCTCTGGCAGCAGGAGACGACAGTATTCAGCATAAGACACAGGTCAAGAAAACACAAGAAAGAAAGGACAGAACCACCCCCCTCAGACACAAAAAGAGCAACAACAAAAAGACAGTAAGTGGCAAAATTCATGCTACTAAACCTCATACTGGCACCTTGAAGAATACAGCAGGTGGGACATCATCAAATCAATCACCTGATCACCATAGAGATGGTGATACACACACATCAGATAGTCTAAACATGAAAAGTGGAGCAGAAGGTCAAACCAGCAAAGTACCTCACTGGGTTGACCTTCTGAAAGTGGCGGAACCACGGAAAAATGCCTGGGTTCGAACACTGAGCAAGTAGTGCTTAAAACTAAGGATGAACCAGCCATGAAGGAACCAGAAGGACCACCTGGCCGGGGAGCCAGTCGGCCGAGCGGACAGCACACTGGACTTGTGATCCTGTGGTCCTGGGTTCGATCCCAGGCGCCGTTGAGAAACAATGGGCAGAGTTTCTTTCACCCTATGCCCCTGTTACTTAGCAGTAAATAGGTACCTGGGTGTTAGTCAGCTGTCACAGGCTGCTTCCTGGGGATGGAGGCCTGATCGAGAACCGGGCCGCGGGGACACTAAAAATCCCCGAAATCATCTCAAGATAACCTCAAGATAACCCTCTTTCCCCTGCTCCCTGAAGGACTCGAACAGCGCCAACACCCAGACATAGTATATATCTCTGTCCCTATCTCTTACTATACACTGGGCCTTAGGCAGTGTGGCTAATAACCTCTAATAAAACACACGGCCCAGGACATCCAGCAAGATTAAAACGGTCTACACCACAGGACACAAAACCCACACAAAAATTGCCAGCCGTCACTAGGACATGGAAATGAACAATCCTAGTCCTACTCTGGTGTAAACTAGCACAAGTACAAATTAACGTTCATGCACTAGTTACCACGTGGATGCACATTACACTTGACCTAACAAGTGGGGAGAAGCATCCAGACAACACTGCAGCTCACAGAGAAGTGAACAAACATGTTACCTGTTTACACTCTCCTAGTCATCCTGCGTTCCAATGTTTTTCTGGTTCTCGTCTATTTCTTTTCATTTTTTTTATTTGTTTAAAACTGGTCTTCCACATTTAACACTTAAATTTTCAATGTGCTTTCTAGTCACAGAATGTACTTGGAATAGTCTTTTAACAATAATAAGTACTTCTTCTGTGGGGAGCCCCATCGGCTCCCTGAAGCTATGCAAACTGATATGTGCTATATTAGTTTGGGGTCATCAGTCACAGGAGTCCTTATGCTTACCGGGAACCACGAGCCAGAACCTGGTCCCCTCAGAGAGGTGCAGAGAGCACTTTACATTTAAAGTACAGTATGTCATAATTGCCATCGTCCGGGGAAGGACCCAGAAAGGTAGGCGAATCAAAACAGACCATTTTCTGGTTAACCTGTGCAATCTACGCCCTGAAAAATCAAAATAACCCCTAGAAAGAAACCTTTCTTCCTTTTCTGTATTAGTATTACCGTGTTTGCCGGTGTGATTTACACACCCTCGCACCTTCACCACTACCTGTCATGCCAGCTGAGGTAACGGATAAACGTCTCGTGCAGAAAGATACATTAGCCAAAGGCAAAATGAAAATTGCTCATGAACAACGTGCAAAGGAACAATTCATTAAGGTTGGTGACACTGTTCTAGTTAATTAAAAAGAAAAAAAAAAGGAGGGAAAGCTAGATATGCCATATGATACAAAACCATATAAAGTAATTAGTGTAAAAGGAACTATGGTAACAGCGAGTAATAGAGATCATTGTATAACACATAATATGGCTTATATCAAAGTGATTCCAACTAGTGTAGAAAGTGATGAAGTGCAAATTCGGGCAAAGAACAAAAAAATGAGTTATAACCCAACAAACAACTCATCAACGGATATTCTTGCTTTTAAGGACTCTCGTCCTAAACATAATTGTAAACACCCTAAGAGATTTGATGATTAATTGAGTTTCTATGTAATGGAAAGTATTTACATATTATGCTAAATTAAATTTACTATTGTTTGCATAATGCAGATCTCTCATTCAATATTTTGTAACATTGTTGTACAGTTTTTCATTTTTGTTTAACATTGCATTTGTATTTTTAACATTGAAACTCTGTGTGGTAAAGATTAATTTGTTTAAATTCCTAATTAATTAATGTAAAATCTATTCATCTTTTGATATGTTAATAACTTTGTGTCAATAACGTTGCTTTTTGCTACATGCATGTGCTACACGCTTGTAGCACATGCTACAAACTACAAGCTTTGTGCTACATCCTGTATTCATTCCTTCTGTGGCAAGCCCCGGAGGCTCCATGAAGCTATCCAAACTGACATGTGCCATATTAGTTTGGTGTCATCAGTCCCTGGATTTCTATGCCTACCGGTGACCATGAGCCAGAACCTTGGTCCCCTCAGAGAGGCACAGGGAATAAATGGCCATTATGAGCACTCTACATTTAGAATATGTCATGTGTACTATTGACCAGGAAGGGCAACCAGAAAGATAGGCAAACCCTCAACTGGTGCAAATTGTAACATACGTCCAAACAGAGCCAAAGAACTTCCCTTTTCCCCTTGCAGGGGAGGTGAAGCCCCTTCAGGCAAGCTGGCAGCCCGCCACCCCAGTTTGTGACTGATGTGCCTGCTGTCAACAAGTATCCTCTGGCCTCGCTTTCCTGACTGATTTCTGCGTTTGTGGCTTTGCCAGCTGTGTGTGGTGTGGTGGCCAGGTGTTCTTTGTACACAGGGGAGCATGCTCCTAGGGTTCTCTTCCCTAGGTGCCCGATAAGTACTTCCTTTGCGATTCAGAGTTATCTTCTCTGGGCTGTTCGGGTCTCTCTCCCATTTGAGGGCTTCATCACTTGGCGTTGTTCTCACCCTTGGGGTACGTCGGGGTCTTGGGCTTACCGTCTTGCCCTGGATAGAGGGAGTGGGTCTTTGCTGGATGGAGTGCACTGTGGCCGGTGCAGCTTGCATACATGCAGCGGCCGACGATTATCTGTGGCAATCAGTTTGTCTGTGCGCGCATTTGATTTAGCACATTCTCGTAGACTTTGGCATAGGTGATCTGCTTAGCTTCCCATTAGGCCTCCCTAGGTTGTGTTGGTGGTCCTCCTCTGTTGCCCCGAGGTTTCACGGCGACTTCTGGTTGTCAGTTTGCTTGCAATAGACAGGGTTTACTAACTTAGCTAGCCCCAGTGCCTGGGTTTCCCATAGGGCTAACATACCCTACGGGCCCTGGAAAACCCTGTTGGGCTCAGGGTGTGCTATAGATGTGTCACCTTGTGCGATGCTAATGGTTGTTCGTTGCCTCTGCCTCATGGTGATGATCACCTGTACTGCCTCTGTTATGCTGCCTGTTGGGTCGGTGACACCTAGGACCCTGAGTCTTGTGAAATTTGTTCTCCCACTTGTTATTCATTTTACCCATTGTGTGAGGATGTTAGGGTTCAGGTGGCAACTGCATTGCATGCCAGGTTTTATTTGTTGCCAGGTCGGTTGCTCAGTTGGAAGCCCTGGAGCTGCCCCGCTTGGGTTTTAGGGACCAGGATTTAGGGGCGTTGGTTACTTAAACTGTGTAAGTTTAAGTAAGTTCCGTCCGCGCCCTTGCTTCCTTCCCAAGTGGGTGTGGTTCGCTCTGCTCCTTATGCCCTGCCTCCGGCTCCCAAACGTCTGAGGGTTTCGGAGCTGGGGGGGGGGGGGCTTAGCATGAGATGAGGTTTGAGTGTCTTTGGGGATTGCACCTTCCGATTCGGGGACGGAGGTTGTTGAGCCCGTTTTCCCTGCCGAGGCTTTGGAGTTGGCCCAGTAAGCTTCCTTCTTTGAAGCTTTGCCCCAGGACTCTGCCTTTTCAAGGGTGGTGGGTGGGGATGAAGGTTCTGCCCCGGGGCCTGTGCGGAGGTTCCCAGGACTAGGGGGGGAGTCCGTTTGGAGTGCTTGGGCTCCTTTTGATCCTGCCTGGGACTGTTCCTTGAGAGCAGGGTATATTGTTGTAGGGGCTGGGGGTTTTGTATCCTCCTTCCCTGTATAAATTTGAGTGGGATGCGGCTCCCCCTAGGGTTCGTTTCCGGGTGCCTTTGGGCTCCTCGGGTATGTCCTTCCGGAGGTTTTCTGCCTCTCGAATTTCCCCTACGGAGCTTCGGTAGTCCTTTTGTGCTTACCTCCTGCGAGACCAGGGTTACACCTCTATAATGGATTTGTCTTCTTTTGAGTTCGGTTCTTCTTCCCCCATATTGGGTGCACCCCATATTGTCGGACCCGCATGCTTGAGTGGTGAGAGGTGTCTTCGGTGTTGCAGGTATTCTTGGG